AAGTTTCCAACAGGTACAAGATACCATCATTGCTTTACCTATCGCCGCCTGATCTAATATAAAGCTAAAAAAATTCCTCGACACGTGTGATTATACCGAGAATTTCAGCCTTCAATGTGTATTGCACTTCCTCGCCACCTTTCGTGGGAAAGGCCGATGCATTGAAATGGGGGAGGGAAAGAGGCACCTTTAAATGGCTGACAAGCTCTGAAAATCTGTGATGCTCAGAATGTGACCAAATCCTGGCGTCACATGATATGCTTCGCATCTGCACCGACCACATTGCTGGGTAGTGAACATATAAATTGTGGACGCAGTTTATAAAATATTCTACGGATCACAACACGGAGAGGTACAAATTGTTGCGTTTCAATCATGCTTATCTCTCCAGCTTATCCATCAGTGCATCCTGGCTTATCTATCAGTGTACGGACTATCCTTTTACGAATGACACTGTAATATGTTTTACATTGCACGCACCTTTTTAATAGGTACGTAAGGGTCATAAACACACACTCGTTATTCAAATATTGTCCTGGAGTTCCGGGAGAACGTCATGGTGACATGTCAAGGTTCAAATATACGATTTCACGGTCACGGTAACAGTTCCCGACGCTACCCGCGAAATCCAAGGCACCACATTTTTTTCAGAAAATGAGATTAAAGGTTAAAGTAGGTCAATATATGCACCCAGATGACCTTGAATTTTAAATCGAGCCGTGTTTCGGTCAGATACATGTATTCAGGTTTTCGATTCATCTTACATTTTATTTTACCCCGCAAACAGTTCGCTAGGGCAAGTTGAAAATAGATTTCGTGACGTCATTTCGCATTTCAATTTTCCCTAGTTCCTTATTGGTACGTCATACCCCTCTAAAACTTGCAGAATCGTGCTTTCGGGTTAAGCTAAAGAGGCGTTATTCGTTAATTTTGAAGGGGGGGGGGCATGCTATCCCCCGGTCGAATTGTCGTGGAACAACCCCACTGTTGGACGCTTTGCTGAAGTCGAGCGTCACTAGCGGCGCAACCTCACCTCCGATATTTTTCAAATCCAGTCGACAACGAGGAGCATATCGTACTCCGTCAAATGACACGGTCGACAGGCATATCAGAAAGGAAAAACCATGTCATTTTAGATGAGATAAAGCACACGTTGAACCGACATAAGTTTTTCAGCGACTTTTGAGAACACCAGCAAGTTCAAAATAGGCCGTCCCAGCATCCGACCATAGACCATTCGAGCGAACATCCGAGCGATCACCCAATTTGTGAACTGGCGCTACACGAGATATTTTCCAGGCCGTGGGAAAGACGAAGGTGATGATGGAGTGGCTGATGAGATGAAGAAAATTGGGACAGATGATAGGAAAGCACTCAAGTACAGCATGCAGACGCCGACCACACCAACCGCTCACGGGGAGCTGATCCGTCCGACAGCATTGATTGGGTGCATTTGGCCTAACGGAAGATATCAGGTTCAGCTTGATGTGCTCCTCGTTGTAAACATCTCCATTTATATTGATCACGCGTCTAGGAAAACGGGCTCGCCTGGTCCTCATGGGAAGTTGGCCGGGCGGATCATCGCTTTGCGGGATATTAGCCTTCTGGTTGGAGACACAATAGCCTGGCATGTTACCATTTCTCCGGCACGAACGACACATTTCTGTTTCCCGCATATGTACGGCAACTGTGAAAACCATGCCGACATGCAAACTAATTCATGCACGGATCTTAGAAAGAGCGAGTTTCCTTTTGCTACCCATGCGGGAGGTTTTCTTTAACTTCTATGGCTCAGTAGCCAATGCTTCGCTTGCTTTTTTCGTTTTTTTTTTCTCTGAGGAATATTCCAATCATGTGGAATGGATGAATTTCTGGGATCTGAACTCACAAAAAGCAGCATCTGTTGCGTGACCTCTGACCCTTCTATCGTGGAATTCCAGGCCAACGGCAAAATTATGTGGGGCAAGTTTAAGATATTGAAATGCTCAATGCAATGCTAACCTTTCGTCCTAGCCTCTGACGTCATCTGACATTTAGAGCGGTCGCTGCCACTGACCGTAGGCTATCCCAGTCAGAGACAAATAGCAAACGCTTAAATCGACTCCAGCCCATCCCGACATGGGTGGATGAACTCAAATGCAGGCGCTGTAACTAACTGAGCTACCGGGACAGGCCCCGACAATATGTTTTTGTGCGCCGGAATCTACTTGATAACACACTTGGCCTACGGAAGCGTAGCCAAAGCCAAAACACCTTAAACAACTGGTTGAGAAACCCTCACTATTTCGTTGCACCTTTTACCGAGACGTTCCTCCTTGACTGGCTCACTTTTGAACATGCTGTTCTTGTTCGCCATTGGAACCAGATAAGTCACATCGCTGCTCGGAATGGTTTCATTGTATGTGGCAGTTCTTACCGACCTCAAACTTTAAAAAGAGGCCATGAAGGCAGATTTGACCTTTCAGGTTTTCTTTTCACATCTGCAATCAGTTCACAACCTTGGTACCAGTCGAGCATGTCTATTTTGGAAGACGGCTTTGCAGTTATAGTTAACACCAATTTTGCACCATCATGGTAGTTAATGCATTCTCCAAAAGATCCTTAAATAAATACGGCGTTTCAGATTTCGACGAATCGATCGTACGATCGACGATAGGAACGATCCCTTAGGCTGTTTGACAACATGAGGTGACCACTCACGACCTACCGCTAGAAACAATACTTTCTCTAGCTTCCTATCTAGCGGCAGCAAACCAACCTTTCTCGCTAACGAATTCCTGGATATAACAATAGATACCGCGTCCCCTGTTCCTCAGGAGGCGTCAACGTTATTTAGCCGTGCTCGTGGTGGACTGCTAATGGTCAAGCTCTCCATAAACCCCAGACTCTGACAGCTTCAGCTTCCGCCCAGCTGAATATGGCACACCGCCGCCCAGCCACCCCGCCGCGGAGCCGCCCCATGCATTCCGACCTGCCATGTTGCAATTTCCAGACACATTCATCATGCATCGGCACGACATTGGCCATGCTCCCGGACTCGCGGGTGGCGACCGGCAGCTCGGATGGGCGGCGCGGAGCTCTCCCGGAGTTCTCGGGAGCCGCCGCGGGGCTCTCCCAGAGTTCTCGGGGGCCGCCGCGGGGCTCTCCCGGAGTTCTCGGGGGCCGCCGCGGAGCTCCCGCAGAGTTCCCAGATAGCCGCCGCAGAGCTCTCCCAGAGTTCTCGGGAGCCACCGCGGAGCTCTCACGGAGTTCTCGGGGGCCACCGCGGAACTCCCCCGAGTTCTCAGGGAGCCACCGCGGAGCTCTCACGGAGTTCTCGGGGGCCGCCGCCGCCGTTTGATCTGTGAGCCGGCCGAAGCACGGCAGCGGTACGTTATGGGGCTGCGTCGAGCCTGGATGGCGAACGGGTAATACTATCAGTCTCAGTCAAGAGATCCTGGCCAATGCGCGGGAGAACTTCCATGGATTTGAATAAATCGATTGCAGTACCGCCGAGACACGGCATAACTTGGGTCTGGCATCATCTCCGACCGTTCAGTGAAAGTCCCGCTGGATGGCTGTGATCAGTTCCTGGTGGAATGTAAGCGTCCGCAATCATTGCCGGATTCGCGGGTTTGAATCTATAAATTCTTCCGAGTTCTCTCCCAAGATACTGATCACAATTTGGCAGGAGGCGGGAAATGGTCATGTAAACGGTTATATCGGAGCGGTGCATTGACAAGAGCCGTAGTGGCATGGCTTGCCTTTTTATGTTGTCGCCATAACACTACGGTGTCATACCCAGGACCGTCCTGTTACTTTAGCAGCGATCCTCTCGACGCGCGCGCTGGGCGGCGCCCCAAGGTGACCTACCCGAGGCGGCCTGAGCCCCCCCCCCCCCCCCCCCCAGTGCTCCACTGAGCCTCCCCAATGCATATGGAAAGAAGAAATATTGGGCCAAGTAAATACAGAACATTTGTCTTAACTATTGGTGCTTTAAGTAGAAGGTGCCTAAAAAACGTATCTACTAGTATCAGTTAACTTTTTACCAAATTGTATTATTTTTAGGGCAACCCATTCTTTTGTCACGCTAACTCTTTCATCTGTTAAACTAGTCAGCAAATGTTTTGCAAGACTTTTCAATGACAACACCCAAATTGGAATTAAGAACGATAGACTGCAATATGCTGCAACGTTTAAAAGTACAGGGTGGCCTGGTTAAAAGTCAAATGCGTTTTCCCAACAGTGGCCAGTGTATCTGTACAGTGTAGAGTGTATTTGTCGTATAATCGTGGCTGTGGTTGAACAACACGATCAGCGACAGCGGTAGCGACCAACGATTCCTCATTAAGATTAAGTAGGATAATTTTTCTTTTAATCATAACTCATTCTAAGCTATTCAGAAAAGGCAGCTCACAAAAACTTCAAATGGAAAGTGATTTCTTCGCATAATTTTTTTTGAATCTACCAAATAACAATATTTTAAAAACTTAAGCGTCGAAAACGCAAATTCGAGTGGCCAAAATCCGGGATGAAACCAGGTCTTGAGATAGGTTTGATCAACCTTTTCAGCTTAGCACCCAACCGATTTTAAAAAGTGGTACACCTGCGCCCCACTCCATCCGACGCCGTCCCTGTGACCCTGTGGTGCCATGACTCAGTCTCATCTGCAGCGCCATGACTCTGACTCACCTTAGGGGTCAAAGCTGCACTCATCTGCACTGCCATGACTCCGTGTCACATGCAGTGCGATGAATCCATCTCCGTCGTATCCCTTGCCATGCTGTGATTGCGTCTTACCTGCAGTGTTCGACTCCACCTCACTAGCAGTTTATGACTTCGTCTCGCCTACAGTGTCATGACCCCCGTTCACCTACAGCGAGATCGCCGCGCTCACCTGGTTACGACAAGCAAAGTGGTGTGCTTGTCGGCGGGTGCGCGCCGCTGTCGCCGAAGGTACTCCCTGGTGCTGGTCAGCGGGTCAGAGGCGTCCAGCCTGACGCACCGCACCGCTCGGCGGCCGCGGGCGCAGCGGCGGCAGCACGGCATCTGGCGAGACACGGCGCTGTCAGAGGACGTACTGGGGCAGCTGTTCTGGACTTACCAGCACCATGGCTCGGGTCGTAAGGGGACATCAGATCAGGACATGATGAAAGAATAGCACAGATCTAAACCGACACAGCGACACAGGACATACCTAGGCTACAACACGAGACGTATCGAGTCAATCGAGGAAACGACACAAGACATACATATTTAGATAATGACACGAGGCGTATCGAGATAACGATACAAGACCTACGGAGAAGCCAACACTGGGCATGGCCAGATACACAAGCACATGGAGAAATAGATGCGGTTATTCCTAGATAGCGACGCAGGGCAGATCGAGACAGCATTGCAAGGCATGCCGAGACGATGTCACATGGCACACCGAGACAGCGGCAGTGGGTACGCTGAGATAGCGCCACAGGGTACGCCAAGACAGCGTTACAGGGCATGTCGGAACAGCACCACAGAGTACGCCGAGACAGCGCCACCTGATACGCCGAGACAGCGGCAGCTGGTACTTCTAGACGACGCAAACCAATCAAGACAGCGGCACAAGGCCCATGAAGGAAACAACCCTTGGTACGCCAAGACAGCGCCACATGATACGCCGAGACAGCGGCAGCTAGTACTTCTAGACGACGCAAACCAATCAAGACAGCGGCACAAGGCCCATGAAGGAAACGACCCTTGGTACGCCGAGACAGATACACATGATACGCCGAGACAGCGGCAGCTGGTACTTCTAGACGACGCAAACCAATCAAGACAGCGGCACAAGGCCCATGAAGGAAACAACCCTTGGTACGCCGAGACAGATACACATGGCATTCAAAGCAGGCGACAAAGAGCCCTTTGAGGGAACGGCACGAGGCATACACGCCTAGTTTTGACATATCATGCCTAGCAAAAAGTCAAGGATCGTTCTGCAACGGTGTCATAATTATGGTACGCCACCGCGCACTGGTGCAGGGAAGCGATAAAAGATATCTCCATGCCGAGCTATGCGTAACGAGGAAATGCGTTCACGCTTGTAATCCACACCTTGCGAGCCCCCAGACGTCAACATGTACGTCGCCCGGGGCCGCCTCCCTCATTCGTTTGGTTACGTCTGCCACGCTGCGGGGAGGCCCCTGGGGCGTGTCGCGCAATTAGCGCGCTCACAACTCCCACCTCGCCTGCGGCGGCCGGCGCCCGGGATCACACGGCGCCGGATCGGAGGCGTCGCCGGAGGCAGGAGGTCTGTGCCCCGGGGCCGGCCGGCGGCGGCGGGCCGCCAGCTCGCGCGCCGGCCGGCCGCCGCCCGCACAGGAAGTGCAGAGCGACACAGGGATCGCTCACCGACCATCGGGAAATGACTTGATTTTCTGCGCGATCGACGATCTGGGCGCTTTGATGTGGCGGGTGCGTTCTTCCGCGGTCTGAGCGGTGACAGCAGTGGGCTGATGCTGACGCTGCTGGTGTCACGGTGTCAGGGGGGATGACGTTTTGATTGATGATTGCATGTGTAGTTCAAAGTATGGAAATGTCAGCACCATGTGAAATGCCAATCAGAGATGCAGATGAGGTGAGGCAAGATGCCTTTCCAGGTTTTTTTCGACTGCACTGGCTCATGACCGGCCTGCTCCTGAGAGATCTTTTATTAAAAAATGCAATAGAAAATTATGCCATCTAGCTCCAGATATGCTGGACTGTGGTTCTGTCGTACCATGTTTGTCGAAGCAAAAGCTGGGTTTTAGCCCCCGACACCTGACAGTTTCAAATGGCATATTTCATGCGGGATCCAACGCCATCGTGGCCACTGTCCAGCCCAGCTGCCAGGTGAGGCACAGGTCAGTGACGTTACTCTCACCAAATGAGTGCCGGTGCCCAGTTTCTGATGAAGAGCCGTGTGAGGTCACAACCACTACCAGAACTGGTGCGGTCGTCTGCAGACACCGACGCGGCCCAGAGGCGCAGTCAGTTTGCCAGTCAGCCAACTGTGACGTCACTGGTACTCCGTGCCGATGCCGGCCTGAACAGCGAGGCCCCGGTGCACTGCTTGTGTGCGACCATTTGCGCTTGGGCCTCATCTGTGGTATGCCACCGCTGTCAGGATCATCAGGGTCAAGTCAGATCACCGGCAGAAACAAATAGCGGCTGCGAGTCTCCTGCCAGCTCTTCGGTAGTTCTAGCAATAGTATCCTGAGAGGTGATTGGTCCTCCCTCTGTCAGTCTTTCCGTCCGAGTGGATAAGCCCAAGGCGCCACACCTTCTCCAAAACAAGGCAGCAGCTGAGCTTGGGGGCTGACATCGATCACTGTCGGAATGAGAGCCCTGTTCGAACCGGCTCGACAAGCACAAATTAACCAATGAAAAGACCATGACGCAACCAATTCTGCTTCCGATCAGTTCATTCCATGCGTAATAAAACTACGATAGGCCAATCTTTCTCCGACACAGGGCATGGAAGACTGTCTGAAATACTGAGCATCGCAGCGACATCCCAGAGGGACACCGCGGATGGATAGGTCTGGCTGTCATTGACGAACGTCTGCTGAAACCTATTCCGACCGCCGCAAAACGTGTCCACCCGTCTCAGAATTGCCAGGCGCGACGTCAGGGGCTCATTTCGGGCACGCCCTGTCTCGCGACACGCCCCTCGACGGCCACGCCCCCTCCCGCTGACAGGCCGGCAAGCCGCGTGGCGGGCGGCGTCGTTAGCATCATTCCCGAGCGGCGCCGATCCCAGCCATCGTTCAGAACGACGCGCCTAAGCCGGCTGGCCGCGACCGCCGCCCTCCATCCAGTGAGCGATGGTCGATAAAAACGCGATCAGCAGCGCGGCGGCCCGCGGCGCGCGGCGGAAGGAACTGGCCGCCAGCAGCCGATCTCAGCCGGACGGAGACGGACGGAGCGCGGTGCGGGGCTCACGACGATCCCCGACACTCTCGGGGGCCGGCGATGGATGGGGTGGGCGTGGCGCGGCAAAGGTCATGACGACTCCGCTCACCCATGGGGGTAGGATCGGGCTCAACAGATGGTGCGGGGAGATGGGTGGTAGATGGCGTTCTCGGGGAATGATGTCGGGCGTGACCTTCGCAGATCTAGAGTGCACTGGAGTTTTCATAGGCGCTCTTAAACATGCGCCCGACGTATGCACGCATATGAATAACTGTAGCATACATTTTTAGTGGCCATTTGACCGGTTAATTGGTGTTCGGAGCTCCACACACCTTTTCTTTGGACCCAAACTGCACACAAAATGGTCCGATGATGGTCCTGCCAAGAGTTTACCGGTAAATGGCTTGGGGAAGACTACAGATGGTTTTAATTGCAACCAAAGCGCACGTGAGTCAATCTAGAAACTTCGCATACATTTGCCAGCAACGCTTATAATATAACGCACTGTAAACAGTGGGTGGAATCAAATCCAAATATTCCGACGTACGACCAAAATAGTCAACCTTCATTTTTATCGAAGCCCTAGAAGAGCAACAACACTGAAGGTCTGGGGTCGAGCTATCAAGTGGATCAAGTGGTGGGTTGCTTCGCATTGACACTTACTCCTTCGGTGTACTTGAGACATGCTTTGAGTGGGCACGGACCGCCACACGAATTTATCGCGCTCTGAAAGTCACGTATCACTTGGGAAATAGCTCCTCCGAAGGCCCGTATCACTCGGAGAACACCTCCTCCGACGGCCCGTATCACTCGGAGAACAGCTCCCCCGAAGGCCGGTATCACTTGGAGAGCAACTCCTCCGAAGACCTGTATCACTTGAGAACAGCTCCTCCGAAGGGCTGCATCACTCGGAGAACAGCTCCTCCGAAGGCTCGTGTCACTCGGAGAACATCTCCTCCAAAGGCCCGTATCACTCGGAGAACAGCTCCTCCAAAGGCCCGCATCACTCGGAGGACAGCTCCCCCAAAGGCCTGTATCACTTGAGAACAGCTCCTCCGAAGACCCGTATCACTCGGAGAACAGCTCCTCCGAAGGCCCGTATCACTCGGAGAACAGCTCTTCCGAACGCCCGTATCATTCGGAGAACAGCTCCTCCGGAGATCTGTATCGACCACTTCGGGTCCGCGCCTGTTTGCAGGCACAGCAGGCCGTAATGCTTCCCAAGCACGGCAATGCCGCCGGCAGCCACACAGGTGTGCCCACGATCAGCGCCCCAAGCACGTACACAACGGCGGGAGCAAGACAAAGCCACCGGCAGGACGCCCGGGACCTACCCAGAACCAAGACGTGCGCGGTGGACGGAACAGGAGCACAGAGTCCGCGGAGTCCGGCGTTCGCTGGACTTCGCAGCCGTCGGAGGGAGAGGGCCAGTCGCCCCCAGGGTCACCGGCAGCGTCCTGAAAGAGGCGAATCGGGTCACGCCCGGTTCGGCATCGAAAGCAGGTGAGTCGGTGAGAGACTGCAGAGTGTTGGACCCGTGGGAGGACGCAGGGAGATGTGTGATGGGGCTTCATCAGGTCACACGGTCATAAGGTCGTCATGAGGTCAGTCCAACAGCGCCGATAGACAAGTCAGTGAGACATTACAGAGAGACGGACCAATCAGTCACTACGGAGACAAGTCGGAGAGTTGTCTGAAAGGGGGAAGGCCTCGTCAAAATGAAGGCCGCAGACATACGCATTAGTGGAGCATCGCGGAACAATGCAGCCATGCTCATTCACAGTTACAGATCAGTCGAACATCAAAGGGAACGTTTTCGGTGCGTGATCAAGATGCAAGGCAGCTGGACATGGCAGATGGACTGGTGGGCGTGTCATCATCAACAAAAGGTGCACTACTGGACGTGACCCCCCCTAGTACCACCGGCCAGTTAATTCACACCATCCCACATTTTACCCAGCCCCAGCCTGCGGGGGACGTGGCACTTTCAACATGGCTGCACCGTTCGCAAAGCGCAATAAACTGACATTGCCACTGTCAAAACATGTGCTTTGCTCGTCAGAGGGGCGGGACGAGCGGCAGCAAGGCGGAGTGAAGTCCCAGTGGCGGGCGACGCTCGCTGCTTGCGGCTCGCGACTTCGGCGCTCTTTGTGCTCGAATTAGGCACGCGTCGGTGCAAGCACGACTGGATTCAAAACAACAGCCACAGCATTTTTAACAAACGGCAAGTGTTATTCAAGCCCCTTGCAGCCCCGGACGGCGGTTCATTATAATGTTGTCTCTGCTGAAAGAGAGTGCCAGCTATGGAAGCCATCTCAAACGCCCTACGCAAAGAAAACAATGATCTTGGTTTCTTTACATACCACTGCAATCCCCTGGGCTGCGGTGTGCTGCACAGAGGTCTAAAATATGCACGAAGTGCATGCACATCTAATAAGTTAGTCGCAACGTCCAATATTGGTGTTTTTGTTCTCGTTACACTACATTAGTGCATAGTGTCCTACATACACAATACACTATGGTGTATAATGTTTTCTATAATTCAGTCGTAGTGTTTTCGTCGAAGTGCTCAACATCGAGTTCTGAGCTGGATAAAACAGTTCGATTAAATCTGGAGTGTAAAACAGACAGTCATGTTCGCAAAGACCGCAAGCTCACTTCAAGCAGACCTTTCTCTGGCAGCCATACTTGAAATCCACCTTGTCTTCATGGTCGATAGTCAATCACAGTATAGTTATTTGGAAGTCCCCGGCCATTTGGCTCGGGGCAGCGCGGCCAGGCTTCGGAGCTGCTAGCGGAATGGAATTCATCTCCAGGCAGTGGCGCAGGCAGGGGGGAGGGGGGGGGGGCACAGGGAGCGCGTGCCCTCCACCTCTAGGTTCTGAAAGGGGCGAAGGTCTCCTTGGTACCCACTATTAAGGGCCCGATTTGAGGGCCCGGAGGGCCCATAAGACCGGCCGGAGGTCATATTCAGGGGCCCTGGCCCACAGGGTTGGGTACTCCAATGCCAGACAGAGGGCCCTAAGCGCTGATTAGGGGCCCCTGGGTTGATAAGGGCCTAGATGTCGATCAGGGATCATCAGTACCGCGCAGTAGGCTTCGCGGCGGTGTGGGTCTGGGGGCCCAATGCCCAATCAGCTACAAAGCCGGGGACAGTAATTTTCACTGGTCGGAGCCCCTTGTATCTGTCAGGGGCCCCAGCCCCTGTATCTGTCAGGGGCCCCAGCCCCTGACAGAGGATTCTGCGCTTGCAAGGGGCCCCGAGCCGATAAAAGGCAGTGTTTGATAAGGCGCGAAAAGGGGCTCGGGCAGACTACCAGAACCGACGATCAAAGGTCCTGTTGAAGGCCATAAGGGCCCAAGGGGTTGGATGTAGGTCACATGAAGAAGCTCAGCTCGTAGGGTCGTGACCTGAAATATCAGTCAGAAGTCATTTTGTACCGTTTGGAACCCCTGGGACAATGCGGCTGCATATGTGGACCAGCCACCACAAACACCCGAACAGTTGACTTCCTGTCAGTCTGAGCCCTGAGGGCCCACTTCCCAAGCAGGAGCAAGACCAAGAGCCACGATTCGTGTAGGCCTGGGTCCATGAAACAACGGCTGAGGCCCTTGCATCCGTCAGGAGTCCACAGCGCCTAACAGGGGGATCGTGTGGCGGCTAGTGGCCCCAAATCGGCCACCGGCTTTGATTGAGGTCCGAAGAGGACCGAAGGGCTTCTCGGTGCCAAAGACCAAGGGCCCAATTGGCCTCGGGCCCGGCCTCACCCGTGGTGCCGCGAACTAAAATGTCAGACAGAAGGCTTCTTTTAGGGCCCTCTTATTAGGGTTCACTGTCCCCATCATAAAGGGCATCGACTCGGAGCCAAACAGTCGGCTCCATGTCTTCCTGAGCCCTTAGGACCTATTTCTCAAGCAAGTGCGAGGTCAGGCCCTCAATTTGTAATGTTTGGAGTCCCTGACACAATAACGGGGCCTTGTATCAGTCAAGGGCCTCAGTGACTAACAGAGATCCTACGACGGCAAATGGCTCCGAGTCGGCCAGTAGCAGTGTTTGTAGGAGCCCGAATAGGGGCCGAAGGGTCTCGAGAGACCAAAGATCAAAGGGCCGATTGGAAGGCTGTAGTGGCTGGCTGGCTGTAGGTCCCATTGAGAGCCCTCGCCCGTGGGGTCATAATCTAAAATGGCAGTCAGAGCCTCCTGCACCGAGGGACCATCAACATCGAACAATCGACTCCGTGTCGGTCTGAGTGCCAGGGAACCCATTTCCCAAGCCGGGACAAGGCCGATTCTGCGATTTACATTGGTCGAGCCCCTGCAACAATGTGGGGCTCCTATCGTTCAGGGGCTCAGAGTACCAAGCAGGGTATTCTATGTCTACAAGGGGCCTCGAGCCGGTCGGCGGAATATTCCCTTAACAAAGCCGGGGACGAGGCCCTGAATGACAGAGGGTCTCTTCCTTCGATCGGGGCCTTCTGACAATGAGAGGAAACATGAAAACTCGAGAGTGTTCAAGTTGAGGCAATGGAAGGCTCTCGAGCCAGTCAGGGACCCACGGTACTGAGCGTTGGGCCCTCCAACCCAATTCCAGAATGGGCGCGATAAGCCGGCGTCGAGTCTATGTGATAATTATTGGACCACCTGCGGCGTTCAGGGACGTTGTTGCGTCAGTGAGGGTTCCTGCTCCGATCCGGGATCAACTGCTGGGGTCAGAAGACCTTCCGCGTCAGGGGGGGGGACCACTGTGATATGATGCATCCTTCTAAGGTCCCCCGGGTCGACCAGGGGATCTCACCCCGTGTTGCCAGAGTGACAGCCGGAAAACACCACGAGGTGGGACGGATTGGCCCTCAGCCCTTGACTGGCAACAATAAGGTGCCCAGAAGTGTTCTACTTAAGATAGTCTTTCCTAGAAAGAAGCAAGGGGTCTCATTAGTATTGAATCGCGTGGGTCAACATAAGCTCAAAAACGAACAAGGCCATCCCATGTTTCCTGGGGACGTTCGTTCTTTTGCAGGATCGACTAGTGAAACAAATGGCATCCATAGGTTTGAGCCTGCGCACCCGCAATCTCAGGAACAAGGAAAGCGACGGCCTGGGTTGTAGCTTATTGAAAAACCGAAGGACATTGGCCACTTCAAGTAACACAAGGCGACGGGTGCCGTGAGCTAGGGAACGGCGGTCGTAAAAATGATCCTGAATCTCTTTCAAAATTAATTCGTACCGTCCAGAGATTTGACTGAGCGTACTTTTTTTACAAGTTTGAGGTTGTCCTGTGGGCAGATTAACGGTTACAGCAATACAAAAATAGGGATCCTGCATGTACTGTTCCAGTGCTGCCATCATATTTCAGCGCCACTTTGCGGTGCTGTGAAGGCTAATCCGTTCCTATCATCAAACTAAAAACTGCACATGTGAAATATACGCCTGGACTGCCTTCTAAATGTACGATTTGGCATCCTAAGTGTCCAGAACTTCTTCAGATGCGTCGTCATTTTCGTCCACATGCTGGCCACGGCTAAGTATTGGCCGCTGGGCCGACGCCGCGCAGCCTGCGGAAACTGCAACGTCTAGCGTCAAGGTTTTTGCTGCAAAAATTTCCGAGCCCGCATGCGCAAAACTAAGTTACATAATTTACACCACTAATCAATTCGGTCTTAAATGTTGATTATTTCCAGAGAAGCATAGCTTGGCAGGCTAATGCAACTTGTTGACCCATTTCTATCTACAACCTACTTTTGCAGGGTCCTTAATGTCTTTGTATGACCCAGATAACAATTCTGACAAAGCTTCTGAGCTTCTTTGGTTTAGAAAGAGACAATGGGCCGTTTTCAAATAAAGAACGCCGGCGATCTATCTCATGTAGTCGTTTAACGCACGCTTTCTTCAGTTTTGGACAATACAACTCACGCAGCATTGGTCTCGCCGTAGCTGCTGACTTCTTCTCCAGTTTACGGCGATAGAAATAGAGAAAACATCTCAGAAAAGCATTCCCTGATTAACAAATGGGCCACATCCGGCGATTATGGGGGTGCCTTTTTTCATAAGGGGGTCTTTGTTAAGCCTGTGCCACTCCCTTGCCAGGGCTCTGGTTGTGCGCCTGCATCCAGCTCACCAGCCCGGCTCTACGGGATCTCGCCAGATTGCTGTCACGTAAATCACGTGTTTATATCGACTTTCGAAATGACAAGACACATACAGGTTTAACTCAACAGGTAATTAAGCCATCACGTCCACCAGATAAATATGTTGACCACAGGTTGATAAATTCAAGGCAAATCTTCGCCGGAAAATTAACTGACTGTGTTTAGCAATAACCTCAGTGGAGCAATTTAGAATAGAAAATTCGAACTCCCTGAGAGCGAATCAGAAATAACAGGTCTAGCAATCTAAAATTTGATTGTGCGCGCATGCCCACATCCATATTTCGACCTGAAATGTGGCCTCTCCCTTTGAA